ATGCCCAAGATCCCGAGAGGAGAATGGAGGAGAAGGGACTGCGGCGTGACCATCCCCCCTGGGGGGTGATTTCTCGCTTTCTGTTTCTATGTCTCTCTCTGTCTGTCTGGCGAGCGCACGCGCCCTACAGTGAAAATCTCTAAAAAAAAAAAGACAGTATGGCATTTGTGGAGAGACAGATGCATAGATCAATGGAATAGAATAGAGAACACAGAAATAGCTCCCACAAAAGTACAACCAATTCATTTTTGACAAAGGTGCAAATTTTAAGTCCGCAGAAGAAGGATAGCCTTTTTAACAAGTGGTGTGGAAGCAACTGGCCCTCTATAAACAAAGAAACAACAAGAACAAAATGAACCTTGCCCTAAGCTTTGCACCTTACCCAACTATTAACCTAAAATGGATGATGGACTTAAGTGCAAAATGTAAACTATACAACTTTTAGAGAGAAAAAAAAGAAGAAAATCTTTGGGCTCTAATACTAGAAAACATTAAAAAAAAAAAACACTGAAAGCGTGATTTATGATAGAAAAGCTGGTAAATTGAACCTCATCAAAACTTAAAACTTTTACTCTATGAAAGCACATATGAAACAGATGGAAAAGTAATCCACAGCCTGGAAGAAAATATATGCAATTCATGTCTGACAAAGGACTCCCAAATTCCAATAGGAAAACCACAAACAATCCAATTAAAAAATAGGCAAAAGGTTTAGAGTCATTATACCAAAGAGGAAATACAGAGGGCAAATAAACACAAAAGAAAAAGTTCAATATCATTAGCCAAGGAAATGCAAATTAATACCAAAATGAGATAGCACTACACACCCACTGGAATGGCTAAAATAAACAAAAAATAGATAAAGCACCAAATGCTTGGGCAGTTGTGGAGACACTGAATCACCTGTTGGGAATGTAAAATGATACAGGCACTGTAGAAAATGATTTGGCAGTTTCTTCCTTTCTTTCTTTTATTCATTGCCGTACGCCACACACACTCCCAAGAGACAGAGAAAGAGAGTGAGAGAGAGAAAGCACTTCCTAATGGAGCATGTTCGTGCCATAATTCCCTCTCCTCCATTTTTCCATTTTGTTTGGATTTGAGGTACATACACACACATGTAAACACACACCCCAATCAGCCACATGGGATTCAGCTTCCTTAACCACTAAGCTAAGGGGCCAGCCCTTGGCTGTTTCTTATAAAACTAAACTTGAAACTACCACATGACCCAGAAATTATATATTCTTGGACACTTAACCCAAAATCATAAAAACATGACCCCACAAATACTTGTATATAAATGATCACAGCAGCTTTATTTGTAGTAGTCAGAAACTGGAATCAGCCCAGATGCCCTTCAACGAGTGAGTGGCTAAACTGTAGTATATGCACACTCAGCAATAAAAAGGAACAAAGCAGTGATGCGTGTAACAACTTGGAAACATTTCTGAGAAATGCTGAGTATAAAAAGCCAATCCCAAAGGTTATATTTTGCACTATACTATACTGGCATATTGTACTATAACATTTTATTTTTAATTGACAAATAATAATTGTAGATAGTTATGGGATACAATGTGATGCTATAATACCTGTAAACAGTATGGAACGGTTAAAGCAGGCCAAATAACATACCTATCACCCTACATGCCATTTCTATTTTTTTAAAGAATTATTTATTTAATTTTGTTTATTTATTTATTTTTTCATTTATCTTTTATTTCATTTTCTTTTATACATTCAATCACATTATTATTTGGCTTACAAAATAGGTATTTCAATAGGTGAACATTTCTCCCTAGTATAGTTGATAAAACTATAAAATATATTCAACAGATAATACCACATTTCTAATGCTTTGCCTCCCTATATTTCTTCTAGATGTCCTTCCTCAGACCCTCCTCTTTCACATATACCATATCTGGTATTTACATCTATGTACCGTGTTTCTATATCCTTTTATTTGACCATAGAGGGACAGAGAGAGAGAGAGAGAGAGAGAAAGTCAGAGAGAGAGATAGAGAGAGAGAGAGAAAGGAAAAAATGAGAAAGCAAGCAGCCAGGTCCCAGACTCAAACCATGGTTGGCCGTGTGGAAGTCCAGAGTCCTTAACCACCACTCCATCTGCTGGCCTCATACTTACCATTTCTTTTTGGTAAGAACATTTAAAATATTGGGACCAGCAGATGGCGTAATAGCTATGTTGCTGGACTCCCATGTAGTTGACCGCAGTTTGAGTCCCAGGCCCGATGGCCTAAACTCATGCCAGGCACATGTGCATGCATGCCCAAGATCCCGAGATGAGAATGGAGGAGAAAGGATTGCAGAATGCCATCCCCCTTTGGGGGGGGTGTGATTTCTCACTTTCTGTTCTCTGTCTCTCTTTGTCTTTCTGGTAAGCGCATACGCCCTATAGCAAAAAACCTCTTCAAAAACAAAATCAAAAAAGAACATTTAAAATCCACTCTTTCAGCAATTTTTTTTGAGGGAGGTATAGTGTTTTTTATTTTGTTTGGTTTTGACAGGGTCGCTGATCCTCTTGCCTTAGCATCCTGAGCAGTTGGTACCACTGGTGCATACCAACACTCCCAGCTCCCTATGTTGTTCATGCTGGTTAAAAGCTTGAGGACCTTTCTCCTTCAGCTTCCTGAACAGCTGGGACCACAGGCAAGTCAATCTACTTTGCCTTTTAGGGTGTGTCAGGAAACAAACACGGGCCTCCCATTTGACCCCAGCCTGTTGAGTGGTAGCTGTGCTACCACGGCTGGACCTTAGTAATTTCAAAATTTATATTATTAGTTAATAATAATAATGCACTGTAAGAGTTTGAAATGACAAAATATTAGAAACGTAGAACAAATTAGTGGTTGATGAGTTGGGATTGAAGGAGGGAGGGCACTAGAGGGAGGTACATATATTTATAAAAAGGTAGCAACAGGGATCCTTATGGTTATGAAACTGTTCAGTATCTTTATTATGGAGATGGATACAAAAAGCAATACAGTTAACAAAAACTGCATAGAACTTAACACACACACACACACACACACACATGATTCAGTACAAGTAAAACTAGACAAATTGTTAATTGTATCATTGTCAATATCCTGGTTGTGACATAATACCATACTTCTGCAAACTGTTATCATTGGTGGAAACTGGGTAAACTATACAAAAGATCTCTCTACATTATTTTTTACAACTCTATGTGAGTTCTTGGTGATCTTGATAAAGATTTCAGAAAAAAATTGCAAAGCACTGGCACATACACTTCACCAAAGAGTATGTAAAGATGGCAAACAAGCACATGGGAAGACATTTAATATCTTTAACCATTAAAGAAATGCAAATTAAAGTGAAAAGATAACCACTACACAACTACAATGACTTAAAAACACTGACAATATAAACTTCTTGCAAGGCTGCAGAACAACTGAAATCCTCATACACTGATACTGAGAATGCAAAAGGAAATGGCTATGGAAAATGATTTGGCAGTTTTCCTATAAGGAGAAACATACTTTTACCATATGATCCAGCAATCTTATTCATTGGTATTTATCCTAGAGAATTCCAAACTTATGCTCATATAAACAGTAGCATATTAATGTACATACTAGCTCTATTATTAATTGGCCTAGACTGGAAATGATCCATATATCCTTCAAAAGATGAATAAACTGTGGTATACCTGTGCAATGGAATACTACTCAGCAATGAAAAGGAAAAATTACTAATACATAGAATATCAATGAATCTCAAAGGCATTGATTTAAATGAATTAAGCAAGTCTGTAAGGGTCACATACTGTTTGATTTCATTTATATCACATTCTAGAAAGAAAACAAATCAGCAGATGACAGAAGTTGGGAGGGGGAAGAGGGTGTGACTATAAGAAATAGCATGAGATCATTTTGGGGGGGTAATGAAACTGCTTTGTAACCTGATTGTGACGGTCCATACCCAAATTTACACGTGTTAAAACTTGTAGAAATGTGGGAACCAGCAGTTAGCTTAATGGCTATGTCACTGGACTTCCATGTAGTTGACTGCGGTTCGAGTCCTGGACCCGGTGGCTTAAAACTCATGCCAGGTGGATGTGCGTGCATGCCCAAGATCCCGAGAGGAGAATGGAGGGTCACTGGACTTCCATGTAGTTGACCGCGGTTCGAGTCCTGGACCCGGTGGCTTAAAACTCATGCCAGGTGCATGTGCGTGCATGCCCAAGATCCCGAGAGGAGAATGGAGGAGAAGGGATTGTGGCATGACCATCCCCCATGGGGGGTGATTTCTCGCTTTCTGTCTCTATGTCTCTCTCTGTCTGTCTGGTGAGTGCACGGGCACTATAGCGAAAATCTCTCCAAAAAAAAAAAAAAAAAAAAACTTGTAGAAATGTACGCTAAAAAGGCAGAGGGAAGTAAAAAATAATTGATGTGGAACCTTTGGTAATCAATACCTTTTCCAAACAATTTGTATTCGGTCCTTTTAATGCTTCAGAATACTGATTAAGAGATTTGAAGACTAAGTGACTAGTTAACTATGTAAGAAGTCATCAAAACGTTCATGGGACTGCACATGATGAAAAAACTATGCATGGATTGCACCAAAATAAATTTATACTTTAATTCCATTTTCCACAAATTTTTGGAAGTCCCCTCATATGTTCTGTCTTGATTTCAAATGTCTGTTCTATCTGCCCAGGTTGTTTGAGAACAGGAAAATAAGAGATGATGTTTTAGTAGCGTTTTCAAAATTCTGGTTTCCTTCTTCACACATGACATAGAAACAAAATCATAATGATATTTCTTTTACTTAGTGCGAGGCTCATTTTTCATAACTTTCTCTCCTTATCTAAAAATCGTACATTTCCATTGGATGCTTCTTAATTTCTCTCTCACATAAGTAGTTTGCTTTCTTTAAATGGAATTTTATGCCTCTTGAATTTCACAGAATGTTTGTAACTAGAGAACCTTTACTACTAGAAAAATATTATTGTAAGTTTTGCGCAGTGGCAATATCATAGCCAATGAGGTTTAGCCAATGCACACTTATTGCTAATTGAAAACTTTCCCAATACCCTGCCATTATGACTTGAAATATAGTCGGCATTGGCAATTTTGGATGGTCTCTACAGAGACGGAAAAAGGGAAAAAAAATCTAATTGTTACAAGTATTTATTTAAAGTCATGTTTTCAGGTAGCCGAGATAATTTTTAAAATAGCTTTTTCCTAATGAGTTTGAATCCATAAACAAAATGAGATTTTTCTGTGTGCCTACAATTTAGACTGATTTCATTAAAACACCAATGTGGTGATTTCCTCCCTATTTTCAAACTCTCTGCTTGTTATAGGTGGTTTGATGTTACATACATTAATTTTGTAACAAATGTGCACAGCAGGAACTGTCAAAGATTTAGAAGTGTTACTAAAAGCATACCAATTTGCTGAAAACAACTTCAGAATTAAAAGATTCTCTTTCCTCTCAGTCTTCTGCCCACTTCAACCATGAAATAGGAGTATTAGAATAGTTTGTCCCCTCATGATTTTGAAGCTCTGTTTTGTGTGTACCTGCCACTCTTTCGACCCTAAGAAATGCTTTATGGAGTCAATAAAGTAGAGGGCTCACTGTCATCCTCAGAAGTGTCATTCTACCTCATCACATCATTGCCAACTGCCATCACTGCTTTTAAAACCCCATGTACTTAATATAGCTTTCATGGATTATTTGCCCAAGTAAATAGGTTTCCCATTACATATCCAAACATAAAATGTACCTTGACTTTCTACTTGCTAATACTTATATAAAATCAGTAACTCTCTATTTCTCCATACTACAAGTACCTGAACATTATGCATATTCATTCAGATAAATGTTTATTGTTCAATTATCTGTGTATTATAAACATATTCTGTCTATCAGAGTGGTGCAGTGAAAAAAATTAGCCATAATCCGGAGGAAGTTATGATCTGTCTCTCTCTGCCAAGCTTGGCTCCATTCGTAAATTGATACTAAATAAATGCTTTCAATGGCTGATGATAAGGATGACTTTATGTAACTGAAGAGGCAAACAGATTTATCCTTATTTAATGGTAGCACAAGGGATACAGAGAAATTAAGAAATTATATTTCCAATAATACAGCAAGTCATAATCAGACCTGAATATAACAACACTGTCTACATTTCCAGTCTCAACGACTTTTAAGATTCCGATAAGATAAAGTCTTTAATACATTGATTATCCCAACACCACTGTAGTTTCAGGGCAGTGGTTGGTTTTGGGAAAGGGCTAGAAACAAGACATGTTAAGTCTTTAAAATAAGATTTTCATGATTTCTGAATGCAATTGTGCCACCCCAGAAAAAAAAAAAAGCATCAATGAAAAATCAACTGCAGAAGATCCTGATAAAACCTGACATTTACTTCAAAACAGATATTCTGTCCACAAACACCAACACCTAAGTTCTATGTTGAATGAAGCATATTGGAAAGCTTTATATGTGAAAGATATTTCCAAAATGAAAAGCAAGTGAAAGAATGAAAACAGATCAGTCATAATTTAAGACCTTCTTGCCATATGTGAACTGAAGTATTTCTGACCCTTGGAGATAAGTTTTTCATGTAGAAGCAAGTATCAAGCTCAGCATACTGATGATTTACAGAACAAGGGGCAGACAGATTTCATAATTTTATCACATTTACTGCAAAACATTTGCAAATGTTGGCCATTATCTTTTCATTTGATTTTCCTCTCTTAACTACCCTTACCTCTGGAAACACAAGTTTTATAGTAACAGAGTATGTTTTTTCTCAGCTGGCTCTCAAGCCTAGGAGAGTGGCCATATACCCACACATTACTCATTGTATTTCAAGATCTCATATCCCAGGACAGCAAATTTTTCTTTATTCTCCAGAACTAATTTCAGGTTTAGGAATGAAGCCCTCTGGTTTGCTACCATATCTGAAAAGACAACTAAGACAATGATCACCTGGTAGGCATGATTAGATAAATCACTTTGCTTCGCTGTTTGCTTTTGCAAGATGATCACATCTTCAAGAAGGAAGATTGATGGAAGGAAATGATGGAGACGGGCTCTTTATTCATTCAATACAAAGGTCTCCAAAGAGTTCAATTTTTAACTTGGATTTGAGAAATGTTAGCAGAGAAAACCAATCTTTCAGACTCAGGCAAAAACAGTGGTTGCTAGAAATGTGATTTTTGTGTTTTCTCTACAATGCCATTGATTCCTAACCCTCAAAAAAAAAATCTAATTTTCAAAAAAAATTCTTCAGACTTTAGAGGGCTCATAGTTTTTATCTACAAACCTGACATAAATGATTGTATCCTATTCTATTTTTTTTTTTTGAGAGAGGTTTTTGCTATAGGGCACGTGCACTTGCCGGAAAGACAGAGAGAGACAGAGAGTCAGAAAGCGAGAAATCACCCCACGGGGGGAGATGGTCACGCCGCAATCTCTTCTCCTCCTTTCTCCTCTCAAGATCTTGGGAACGCACGGACATGTGACTGGCATGAGTTTAAGCCACCGGGTCTGGGACTCGAACTATGGTTGGCTACATGGGAGTTTAGTGATGTAGCCATTAAACTAACTGCTGGTCCCTATTTTTTTTTTTTTTTTTAGAGAGAGAGTTTTGCTATAGGGCACATATGCTTGCCGGAGAGACAGAGAGAGACAGGGAGACAGAAAGTGATAAATCACCCCCCGGGGGCATGGCCACACCACAATCCCTTCTCCGTCATTCTCCTCTTGGGCTCTTGGGCACGCTTGCACACAAGCCCAGCATGAGTGTTTAACCACTGGGTCTGGGACTCAAACCATGGTCTACTACGTGAGAGTCCAGCAACATAGCATTATGCCATCTGCTGGTCCCTCCTATTCTAATTTATCTCAAGTAAGATTGTGAAAAATAGGCGCCAGCAGATGGTGCAGTGGTTACATCACTGAACTTCCACATGGCCAACTACGGTTCAAGTCAGGCTCTTGTGACTTGACACTCATGTTGGGCACATATACGTGCATGCCCAAGATCCCAGGAGGACAAGAGATTGTGGCATGGCCATCCCTTCTAGGGGATAATTTCTCACTTTCTCTCTCACAGTCTCTGTCTCTGTCTCTCTCTGTGTGTCTCTGTTGAGTGCACATGCCCTAAGGTAAAAACCTCTTGAAAAAAAAAAGATTGTGAAAATAAACACATGCCTTAAATGTGCTTTGTCCAGTCCTTCTTAAAAGCAGACTCTGAGATGAGGACATGGGTCCAAATTCTTCCTCTAGTGGGAGAGCATATCAAGTCAAAGTGAGGAAGTGAATTACTGATTACAAAAGAGGAAAGCTAATGCGGGATATATTCATGAGCAGGTTGCCACTGTGGGCAAGTGAAGCTTAACCTTCTTAGGGAACCTCTGAAAAATTATGTGGAACAGACCTCTCAAGGACGGGTGGAACATTTATTCACAGACCCCATTTCTCAGTGATTGAGTTTGTCACAGGTGGCAAGAACTCCCCCATACTTCCATGTTGTACCTGTACACTTATATAGTAGCACAGACTTTCCTGCTGGAGAAAGTCCTCAGCCTGGGAAAAAGACAGACTGGTACGGAAGGTGAGAAAGTAATGGGTGCTGATAACTGTCATTATTTGCAGTTACAGATGAACTCTCATAGGCAAAAGGAATACAAGGTGACTTCAAAAAGTTTGTAGAGAAATGGAATGAAAATATAAATTTTGGTACAAAAATGTTTATAACCCATGCATAGTTTTGTTCATGCTACACGTTTTCTATGAATTTTTTCAAGATCCCATGTATGTGATGAAACTATAGTATTTGCTCCATGCTCTGTTCTACATCTGGAGGGACCTTACAGAAATTATTGACAATGAAGTTAAGGAGTACTTGGGTTTGTTTTGGAGGTGACACCTCTATTCTTTCTACTTTACTCTGATATTTCTATTCTCTCAAAGGGTCACAAGTAATTATTTTTCGTTGTAATAAGAATTAAAAACATTTTCTGAAACAGAATAGCACATGTGCAAGCAAACCTGATTTGAGTTCGGTAACATAGGACAGGAACTTTTTTTGTAAACTAACAGTTAATTCACTTAGTATTAAATACTCTTTGTTTTGTTTGTTTATAAATTTGTACTTTACTCCACACCCATAGAATTGTAGTATTCAGAATAAATAAAAACGATTACATTGGAAAAAAAAAAGAAATTATTGACAACAAAAGGGAGTAACTTAACTGTGCATTCCAAATCATTAAACCTGACCTATACAGAAGATGGCTCTTGATAAATGAGCTCTAGTCTTATTACAAAGCAATAATGTTTACTGAAGTTGCCAGAGGTTATTTGACCTGTGTTTTATCCTTACTGATGAAGTTCCATGTTGGCCAGGGGTTAGCTCTATTGCTGCGCTGATGATAAAACTGTGACTGTCCTTCCTCCAACTACCTCTCTTTTCCCTGATGTCCAATGACACTTTTTAACAAAAGGAAGGTACTAACTGGAGAAACTTTGGGCCTTGCACGATTGCTTCTTTGGGTTGGAATTTGGGCATTTTGCCTTAGTTCTGTTAAGTGACACCTCCAAAACAGTTCTAAGAAATCCACTATTGCATGTAATATAGATATGATATGAGGAAAATGTCCATTTTCTTCATTCGTACATTCCTAAGGACTCCTACTTAGAGCGGCACCATGAACAAGTTATTCATAGGCCCGCAGATGGCATGGTGATTAAGGCTCTGGACTATCACATGGCCAACCACAGTTCAGGTCCCAGACCTAGAGGCTTGAGCATCATGCCAGGCATGTGTCAGTGCATGTCCAAAATCCCAGGAGGAGACTGGAGGAGCTGAGATTACCGAATGGTCTCCCCCCACCCCACGGGGTAATTTCTCACATTTCCCTTTCTGGCAAGCACATGTATTGTATGGCAAAAACCTTTAAAAAAGAAAGGAAGGAAGGAAGGAAGGAAGGAAGGAAGGAAGGAAGGAAGAGAGAGAGAGAGAGAGAGAGAGAGAGAGAGAGAGAAGGCGAATCATACCTGGAAGTGTTTTTCCTGACACTGAAGTACATGGTGTCCTTTCCAACACCAACTGATTCTCAGACAACAGTTGGA